AGCGCATAAAGTTATAACGTTTCAGATGTTAAGTCTTTGGGAGTACAGAACAGTCAAAAGTGTAGCCTTTTATTCTTGAAGTAATTCCTTCAACCTCAGGATTATCACAGTGTAAATGTGAGTTCTCCGGAGACACTATAGATCTTTAGCCAGGTTCTCTTAGAAACTGGGCCCTTAGGCAGTTACAGTCTCTTTCTCAAGCATTCATTATCCTAGCCTGCTTCCTCACAGAAGACAGACTCTGAGACTTTCAAAGTCTCCTTAGAAAGAACTATTACTTTACCCCTCTGAAGTACAAACCATCCCTAAAACATCTCCTGATCTAGTCTGTTTGCACTCAAAACCGACTCTGAGCCCTAGTCTCCTCAAACAGGTTCTCTCCCACCCAGGGGTCATTTTGTAGAAAAAGAGCTAGGGGGACTCATTAGCATAACTCATTAGCATATGCCACACCCCCTGACATCACCGGAAGTGTGTCCTCCCCACAGCCGGCGGCGACCTCCAGCGGGCACCAGCAGGGAGCTCCAGGCCCCGTCCCCCCCGCGTCCCCCCCCAAATGACCCCTGCTCCCACCTAACACTCTGGAGACTCAAACCCAATCTGATCTAAGTAGACGGCGTGACAGTGTCATCTCTCTCACGCACTCCTCCCGTGTGGCTTCTCGGCCATCCATGTGTCCTGATGGGCTGTTAGCTGCTCTGCACATGCACCAAATAGGCAGACAGGGGACTGGTGACTGGCAGAAAAGGGCAGGGTCTTTGCCCATCCATTACAGGACCTATAGTTGCCAACTTTTGATACTGGTTCCCAATGCCTTGTCCCTGAAGAAGTCAACCAACGTATTTTTTCTAGCCCACTGGCAACCGTACCATGAATGTAATGTGTAACATTTACTGAACAAGATTTGAACATGTACTGTGAAATCATGATGGGCTGGATCCCCACAGATCTATTCCACTAATGGTGGTACAAGGAGTACGAGAAGCCTTCTCCTGAACAGAAGGAAAAGGATCCTTGCACTGGTAGAATGGATCTGTGGGATCCAATTCCTTATTTTTCATTCTAAGAGAATCACTTGGCTCTCAATTCCCTTTCCCCCCAAGGATTCTCTTTCCAAGGTTGGTAGAAAGAAATGAAAAAATAATTGCCACCCCTCCCCAAAGGTTTTCATGTCTCTAGCACACAATTGCCAAATGTGACAAAATATGCTACCCAAACTGGGGCCATCTTCGTTACAGTGCAATGAACCTTCCAAGCCCCTTGCTCTGCTTTCTTGGAACACATACCATGTCATGGCAGAATGGACATCACATGGTCAATGTTTATGACATAGAATTAAGCATAACCCTGGAATGAGGTTCTCCTATGAGGTGAAGCAATCCTGCTAGTTACCAACAAGCTTCTATTTTGTCAAAGGCTTTCATGGCCGGAGTTCATTAGCTGCTGTAGATTTTCCGGTTTGTATGACCGTGGTCTTGGCATTGTAGGCATCCTCAGAGGTATAACACAGAAAGATAGAGTACTCTCTGTGTCAAGGCGAGAAGAAAAATGGTAGGCAGGTAATTTATATCTACTCAGATGATGACTCAGCCCTACCCCACCTTCCTGAGATAATGACACAGCCCTACCCCACCTTCCTGAGTAGATATAAATTACCTGCCTACCATTTTCCTTCTCACCTTGACACAGAGAGTACTCTATCTTTCTGTGTTATACCTCTGAGGATACCAGTCACAGCTACTGGTGAAATGTCAGGTCCTACAATGCCAAGACCATGGCCATACAAACCAGAAAATCTACAGCAGCTAAAGCTTCTATTTTGTTTATATGCATGTACATACTGAAATTTACTTTGTCCCACTAAATGCTCACTTTTAAATCTCCGATGCCTAACACTTAGCCCCATCCAACATCTTAATATATAGTAGAGATATGAACATTTATCCCAACGCTTTATGAACACTGGAGCTTTGCTGTGCTACACTAAGCCTAAATCTAGCTTTTCTTCAGAAACAGCAATAGTTTAATCCAAAGTGGTGAAAGTGTACAGAATTCTAACTAACCACTCAGTCATCGTGGTTGTGTCCTGCTTTCCAAAAAAAGGTCCCTGGTTGTTCATTATGGGCACGACTCCTGATAGGTTTTTCTGGGCATGGTATACTCTTTGCATTAAGGCTCTCCCTGTGGGATATGTGTAAATGGACAGTCTTGAGCTCTGATTCCCTTTTTCAGGGATTAGGAATCAACAGATAGGGTAGATGCTTGCTATTTTAAGGCTTCATTCCTCAAGGGCATATACTATAACCCTGTGTAGATGACTTATCCACGCATTGGCTCACCTGCAGGGAAGAAGAGTGGTTACAAGTGCATTGGCCCTTCCCCCATCTCTGCACAATGGTGGATTCATCTGCATGGTGTGAATGTGCAGAGGAGGTGCCCGCATGAATGCCCCTTCCCCATTCCTGATTATGGGGGGGTGGGAGGGTGTCGGCACTTCCTTCATGTATTTGTACCATGCAAACAACTTGGTGATCATGCTGAGATGGGAGCCACTCACCCTCCCCACTCAGTGAGTCAATATGTGGACCAGTCGCCCTGACCTGGATTGCTCATGCAAGCCTGATCTCGTCAGATATCAGAAGCTAAGCAGGGTCGACTCTGGCAAGTACTTGGAAGGGAGAACCTAAAAGGAGGATGTGGGAAAGACACTCAGAACATCCTGTCTTGTCTTGGTGTTCAACATCTGTATCCATACCAGTTGTTGAAACTTGTGATGTCTACTTGTGATGAAAGGGCCCAGCCCCCTTGCTCTGTCCCCCAACAGAGTGGTGAAAAGGAGGGAGAAATTGGCGCCCTTGCATTTGTAGCTGCTCACTCACCCCCGACCCTGCATGGGGCCCAGGCAGCTGACTCCCTCGTGGCGGCAGCAGCTGTGGCTGCTTGCCCACTCTACGTGTAGCTTGGGCAGCCAGTTCACTCATGGCAGTGGCAGCTGCTCCTCCCCACTCACAGGGGGCCAGGGCAGCAGGCTTGCTTGTGGTGGACGGAAGAACCTCCCAGAATGATAGGATGCCTGCTCCTTGCCTGGGGCTGGTGGCTCCGGGGAGTAGGCACTGCAATTTTGTCCAGTGGATTTATGGTCAGTCTGCCCCTGCCTTGACCCTGAGATGAAGGAAGGTCTGCGATTAGATCTCTCCAGCGTGCTTTTTGGACAGGAAATATGGATGAGGCCGTTTTCCTGACTTCAAACACACCACTCCTGTGAACTAATATTTGCTCTTTGTGGAGTTGTCCCTATCTTTCCCCATCAAGGAAAAGAGTTCCAGAGGGGCCATGAGGATAAGAAAACAGAACAAGGGGAAAGAGTCAAAATTTTCCGTCCCCCGTGGTATGATCCTGATCTGAACTGGGGTGGGGGTCCCCATTAAGAGATCTTCCAGTGTCTCTTATGGTTCAACACATAATCAGGACAGTATAATAACTGTGCAGCAAGCAGGGGTAACTGCATAGAAAAAGAGGCGCAGGAGCTCATTAGCATAACTAATTTGCATATGCCACACCCCCTGACATCACCATAAGTGTGTCAGAAGGCAACACCCACCATTCAGGCTCCACTGTACTGTTTTGGATTGCTAGCTATTGGGGGGGGGGAACGTGCAGATCTGTCCTCACAGAGGAAGGAGAGCTTGTACCTGAATAAAACTTGGTCTTAAAGGTGTCACTGGACTCTTTTGGATTGCTAGCTATGGGGGAGGACACACGCAGATCTGCCCTCACAGAGGAGGGAGAGCTTGTACCTGAAGGCAGGCTGGGGGGAGGCTCTGCAACTTACCTGGCTGCTTCTTGCTCCTCATGGCCCAACTGAGGGCTGCTGGGAGCAGGGGTGGGGCTTGTTGCATGTGCCCACCCCCTGGGCTCCTTACTGCCGGAGCTCCGCTCCTGTGCGCTCCTGCAGGAAATGACCCCTGGCAGCAAGTAATAGATGCATACATTTATCTCTACTTCTATCTCTATCTTCATTAAACCATGAGTTCTCTTAAAGACAGGGTGCTTTGGGGGCAACTGGCCCTATGGGGTACCAGCCAGTCAGTTGTAGGGTACAGTAGCCTTGCCGCATCCAAGATCCACTGCAGGTAGCCAAAGGCGGCTAGACAGACCTGTTAGTTTACTGTCACTGCAATGCGAGCAATACTGAATCTCCCCCTAGTTTAGGTGTGCCAAACTACTTCCCAGACCATTATATTCTTCAGCCAGATTCAAACTGCAACTACTGAATCTGAATGGAAAGCAAATGCAAAAAAATTAAACAGTTTGATTCCCTGAGCCACCAGTGGGTTGTGTTGGTGTGACAATGGCTATTTGTATCACAAATTAAGAAAAAAAATTAATCAAAGTACTCACAATGCACATCACAGGAAGAGTGCAATCCATGGAAGATGAGGGGTAGTTTCAGGACAGAGCTGACATTTCTTAGCATCTGCGTCTCTGATTATTATAAGCTATAAAAAGCATAGACTCATTAAAAAGAAATTAATATTGACTGTATCAAGGAGCAGGCATTTGAACTTTGCTATGAATGTTTTCCCCAAAGTGAACCTTACATAGTAACTCTACACAACCCCCACTTCCTTACTGAAGCTAATCAGCCACATCTGGAATTAATGAATGCTCTTCTCCTGGATATCCCCACCTCTACTGCCTTCCCCTCTCTTTGTTGTCTCCCTCATGTCAAGTTTTATGTTGTGAGTTTCTCAGGGCACAGATCTACCCTTTCCTGCTCTGTAAAATGCCATGGACATTGCTAGCAGTGTTATTGAAAATGATTAATATAACTTATATGCGATCAGGCTATGTTGGACATCAGTGGGGAGTAGGCACCAAGCATGACTCTCTAGAGTCACAGCCATTTGGACACGGCATGTCAAAAGACGGGTGACTTAACTGAGCAGAGCAATTGAGATTACATTAAGAGAAGATGGCAGCCTTCTAAGGGATAGCAGATGGCTGCTACCCTGGGGGTAAAACTAACTCACTCCCATGTATATGCCATAGAAAACACGACACAAGTACCAACGACTCAGAGGTAAGCAAGTCTTTGGCACAACAGCTTGCTATTTTTTGAACTGCAACACAGTGACTTAATTGATTTTCTCTTTCTTCTTTGCAAAAGACAGCTGAATGTCAAAGGTCTTTCCTTTGTGAAGTACTGGAAAAACCTGTTGTCAGACAACCTCTTCCCATTTAATAATTCATCCCATTTTGTAAGGGAAAAGCAGCCGACATACAGTAAATCTAATTCACATTGAAACAGCCGCATTGAGCTGTACTAAGGAGAATAAATAATCTAGTGTACCCATTGAAAATTAAACCTATAAGGAACTTGGTCCCCTACCCCCTCTGTTCCCCTCCTGGAAAAAAATGATCACCAAAGGCTATCGTTTAGAAGGCAAGATGGAAACCTTGAAGTGAACGAGAACACCGAACGGCCGTTTTCCAAGTGGCAGACAAATTATTTATGCTATTTCTTCTATACATAAGGAATTGAGCTAAATGAACAATGTTTAAGCATGTCAGGGTTTCATCAATTTTGCATGAGCATTCACAAATATCCTGGTGGGGGTAATTGCTTGCAAATACATTTAAACTAATGATATGTTATATCCTTCCTTGATATAAAACTATTAAAAGATACGTTATTGCATTTGACAATGCCACGCGGCTGGGTCAACTCCTAATGACAGATTTCAGCATTTGTAAATTAAGATACACTCTGCTGGAAGCAAATATTTTGTAAAAATAAAAGCTATATACTATGCAAGTCGGATCATTTATCTACAGCTTCTCTGTAGTTTATGTAAGAAATGAGTATGTATGGAAGACGGAAATGAGGTATGAGGATGTAGTGATTAGCTTGTTAGCTTGGATCTCAAGAGTTGTAGATTTATGTCTTCATCAACCAGTGAACAGAAGAAATTGCTTCATTAGGTCACACCAAAGGTCCAACTGCCTCCAACGACAGGTGGCATATTTGAACCTCAAAGCAGAGCATGATGATAAGTCCTCGTAGTTTGCTGCTCAGTGTCTGAGAATCACAGGTTTGTTCACTCTAATTTGAACGAAGATGTTATATTCCTTATTGTTATGGCTAACATCTGTGATAAGTCTATCCTCCAAGAACTGATGATGGTACATTCATTTAAAAGTTTCTTTCATACACCGATGGTGCTAATTTGGCCAAAATGTTTTTTTGGGGGGATGTAGACATTGTAGCTGAAAAGACCAAACACCAATGGTGCTAATTTGCCCCAAATGTTGGGGTGGGGGGGGATGTAGACATTGTAGCTGAAAAGAATTTACAGGGAACAATAATCAGATTTTCACACAACGTTCCAGGTTCACAGTAGCATGTTGAGGAAATTCACTCAAATTTTCAGACTTTTAAAAATTCATTATTTGACTACATGCTCCAAGTGCATATGTTTTAGTTGCTGAAAGGGGTGCATTTTAGAGGGGTGAGCTTTCTCTATTAATGTTTAGATTTAGTTACAACTGTTGAGAGTCAACCACCCCACATTAAATTTAGAGACTCTGCTCTTAAACACATAATATCTTGGTGTGATTTTTGTGCATGTGTTTTGTCAGGCCAAGCCACTGAAGGCTTTGTATGTAAAATGTAGTTTCTTGGGCTCTGCCAAGAGAGATATAAATAGATATAGAATGAGAGCATAAACCCCCAGGTTTCGAATATTCTGCAATTACAATATCCCATCAAGTTGGGACATGGGTTGCCTTGTTTTGCATTTTCTGGCAAGATGACACCAACAGGAAAGGTGGAGGTGGCCACCCCCCCAGAACTGCCATCCAAGGCCACTGCTTTGCCTTACCTCATTATCTAGCTAGCCATGTCCTAACTAGTCAAGGATTAGACAGCAAATGAAATGACATCTCAGTGCAATCATTACTGCATAACCAATCAGATTTGTCCATGCAATAATGTGTGTGAGAATGAAGATGGTGTAAATTAATAAGCAAATATTTTCACAAGTGTGCCTCCCCCCAAAAAAACCCTGACCCCAAAGGAGAGGGGTTTTTCCAGCATTCGTACAAAAAAAAAAAAACCCCTGCAAGTTGGCTCATCTCATCTCTCCTTGTCTCCAAGCGGTCTTCGAGGCAGCTCCATCTGACATTAGTTTAGTGGTTATGGAGGCATAAAAATCAGCTCTCATTTGGTTTCTGTGCCAAGCTTGTGATTAATGTGGCTATATGTTTATTCAGTTATTTAAAGATGCAATTAAACACAAAAATAACTGTGATTTTTATTAATTCCCCAGACAGAATTTTAAACAGAAAGCGATGTGAGTTCAGGCCTGTTGGGACTTAGTGAGGGGGTTTTGATATCCCACTGGATCCGTATGACTGTACAAATGATATCGGTACACATGTCCTTAGTTGTTTCTTGGGACTCTGCGTTCATCATGTTATTTCAAGACTGCACAACTTCACCAAAGTAGCAAAGCCAGCCTCTCACTACGTAATGGAGGAAGGGTGAAATCAACCCTGCTGAGGTAAGGCTTCATGTGCTGCCAGGATTTGGGATGCCTTGGCTAGGGTGGGGGGGATCTGCCCCCCTGGGCTTCAAGGAAACCACTAACGACCCTCCGCACCTTCCTGGGCTGCAGAGAGGGAGGAGACTACCACCCAATCTCCTAACTCAATGTCAAGCTGTGGGGAGGCAGGAGGAAGAAGGTCCATCCAGGGGGAGGGATGTGGGGAAGCAGCACACTCCCTGTAGGTCACCACTCACTGGGATTGGGTACGCACCGCTGGGCTATCATTGGGATTGCAAAAGAAGTTTTTGCACATGCTCATGCTGCTGTCTGGAAAGTCTAGTCCAGTCCACTATGTTCTGAGCATGCTGGCTGCACAGGTGAAGAAAGAGCAGACACACTCAAAAGGTAATTATTTCAAATGATGACCCTTGGGTATACCCAACTGCAACAATCCAGTAAATTGAGAGTAGGCGCAGTGAGCAGCTTACCTGCCATGCTGAATGCAGCCAATGATGCAGACATAAAAACCATCTGAAATAACTGCATTCTAAGAACCTGACTTAAAAGAAAATGGGCATTGTGAGTAGAGTAAGCTTAATATCGGTAAGAGAGAGCTGCTGTTAGTGCAACGGATCCATAGGATTCAGCTCTGAGTGATGCCTGACATCTGGCTCAACTGATCTATAACATTTCAGGGGGGGAAAGTTATTAATGTTTTGATGAACGGCTGACTTTATTCTTTGTAGAGAAACCAGACTCCACTGATGGATCCAACTGCCATAACGGAAGTTACTGTATGGGCCAGCCATTGTGGTGACGGCCTGCAGTGTGCACATCTTTCTCCCTCAAGACACTTTGCCAACTCTGGGTTCGGAAATACCAGGAGATTTGGGGAGTGAAGCCTGAGGAGGGTGGGGTTGGAGGAGGGGAGGCTCTTCGGTGAGGTATAATGCCACAGAGTTCATCTTGCAAAGTGGCCCTTTTCTCCAGGTGAACGGATGTCTGTTGCCTGGAGATGACTTGTAATCCCAGCACACCATTTTCTCCAGGTGAACGGATATCTGTTGCCTGGGGATCACTTGCCTGGAGGCTGGCAATCCTACAAGACATCTGCCTTTGTTCTCCTTCAACTCCCTTTTTAAAACCCCAGAAGAATGCAAATATCTCCTAAGAGATATGGTTTGTTTGATGGGATATTGTGTTGATTCTTGTGTAATTTCACTGAACAAAACCCCCTTAAAATTTCACTTTTGGTGAAATTCAGTGCCAACAGTAGCAGTGTATGGAATGTTCTGCCTGGGGAATTTCATTTATCTTACTGAAACTAATTTTGCTTTTCTCAACATCCCTTCGGGTCAAACAGCATCCCAGGGTCAAACACGGGGATGCCATCCCATCTAGCTTGGCCCTTAGATGTTTCCTCCAGAACAGAAATCTCTGAATTTTCCTCAAAAAAATTGTCTTCTTAGGCAGCAACTCTGAAAATGTTGGATTTCAGCGGTATATCTGTAGTAACCCAGCTATATCTAACCTAGCTGTGACTTCCACAAGCCATTCCTCTTGATGTCCCCCTTTCTGTTCAGGGACTGGGTAGTTAATGAAGTGAGATTACTTTCTAGCTATTTCTCTTCCAAGCCAACCATGTTATTCATTAAGGACAGTGAGAAACCCCACCAGAGTTCATCTGAGCAGCGATCTCCACGTGTGCTTGTGAAGGGCTCTAAAGAAGAACATGCATTGTCCTCTCTCTTTTTACAGAAGTTACTGTGACCTGGCTTCAGAACGTGGGGGGAAAAAAATTCTGATATTTTCCTTCTCTTTTGGTGGCTGCTCAGTCTCTTAATTACACTTTTAAACACAGTATAATTTTTGTAATTAACACGATGGTTGCAGAGGGCAGAGGAAGCTTGCTCTATGCTAATTGCAAGCTCTAGTCATGGTAGTGGAAATGCAAGGCTTTCTGCTAGTGGGGTGGAATGCAGTTTTTATGAAGGGTTTCAAAGCGTCTTCTCCATGGGCTCCTGCGCATTGCGAGTTATCATTAGCATTTGATAGCATAAAGAACCTTTATAATATGTGACAGATTTCTGTGTGAAGATTCCTACCTGATAACTGGGAGAAGAAATTTACATAAAGACCTTCATTAGTTCTTTCTTTGCATTATTGAAAATGGAAAGACTGCTGCACATTGTCTCCCTGTAAATCAGCGCTTTGGAGCCAAAAAAATTTGCGCTTTGTAATAAAATGTACAGTATAGGATGAAGGGAGCTTACATCAGCCTTCAAAAGGAAATAGGGAAAGGTTGGGAGATCAAAACTGGTATGTCAGAAAGTCCTAGGCCATGGTTAAATTGCTAAGAGATGGCAGCGGGGTGTAGGACTTCATGGTACCACATCTGATGGTTCAGCCCATGTGGTTTAATGGTTGGAGAGTCAGATTAGAACTGAGGTGGCCCATATTCACACACCCCACTCACCCATGAAGTGCCTTAGATAGGTTTTAGAGCAGTCACTTTCACCCTAACCTACCACTCAGGGTTGCTGCAAGAATAAAACAAGCCAGGGTCTCCCATATCTGTGTCCAGCACTCTAACCACTGCACCCCACTGGCTTTATGTTGTTTCCAACTTGTTGGTGAGAGTCTCAGGATGCTTAAGTCACTCCAGGGAAAGAAAAATCTGAGCCAGTCTTTAGAAAATTAGATTCATATCA